ACAGTTCCTAATAGATTAAAATTCTTGTTCTGTGTTCCATATTCTTTTGATTGCTCGCAGTATCACTACACATATATTAAATATTTGATTAAAATTACTAATTTGTGGGTATGTTACTTCAATAAATTTTGAACTTTTTTTTATTGTATGTTTATAATGCTTAAAAGTGCAAATCATATTTGACATGTATCAAAAATTTGTTTAATAAATTTTTCTAGCTTTTTTTGAATATATTTGTTTGCGTTACATTTTTTCAGCTGACATTGATAATTTTACTATTAATTTTACATTCTTCAGTACGTAAATATATTTTTTAATTTATAATACTTCGAGTACACTTACTCGTGAATACGTTTTAAATGCCTCTTGAGATCACATGCTGTATGGTACTTAATTGTTGAGTCACATATTTTGCATGTTGCCTCTCTATTGCTTTTTGCGATAAAATAATCCCAACACCAATCGAATTTTTTTTCTCTCTTCTCTTCTTCCGATAATATGTCTGGATGTTTCTTCACCAAATGATCATGTAAAATAGCTAATCTATTCATATGTATAGTGAATTTTACATTACAATAGTTGCATCTTGCATTATTCTTTGGTAATTTTGTGTAATGTTTACGTATGTAAAGACGAACTGGAATAAAATCTGTCTTTTTAGTTATATCCTCATTTGCAATCATGTCATTGTCTGAATTGCTCTCGTTGTCCTCTACACGATCTGAATTTGGATTGACTATCCTATATTTACATAAGAAGTTATTAAAGAAGCAATAAAAAGTACGTTAAAGCTATTATTTTCAATTATGCTCATCCTCCGTTATGCGGACTAAATTATAATTTTTTTAAAATATATTATTCGAACATTTAGTAGTGATCAAAAATGTTGCGGTCAAGCAGATTTAAATATTCTGGAAATCTGACAATTATCCGGTAAAAATTGGAATTTTTCACATTATTTTTCACTAATTTTTAATACTAAACAGAGTAATAGTAAATTTGAAACATGGAATTCAGTTTGTTATTTAATAAGGTTGTGTAACATAAATGAATACTGATGAGTTTTATAAGGAATTGCGCTATCAAAGAAATAGGAATTAAGAAAACAGAAATTCCAACCTTCAGAAATCATGTGTTGTGAAATACACAGTTCCTAATAGATTAAAATTTTTGTTCTGTGTTCCATATTCCTTTGATTGCTCGCAGTATCATTACACATATATTAAACTACACATATATTAAATATTTGATTAAAATTACTAATTTGTGGGTATGTTACTTCAATAAATTTTGAACTTTTTTTTATTGTATGTTTATAATGCTTAAAAGTGCAAATCATATTTGACATGTATCAAAAATTTGTTTAATAAATTTTTCTAGCTTTTTTTGAATATATTTGTTTGCGTTACATTTTTTCAGCTGACATTGATAATTTTACTATTAATTTTACATTCTTCAGTACGTAAATATATTTTTTAATTTATAATACTTCGAGTACACTTACTCGTGAATACGTTTTAAATGCCTCTTGAGATCATATACTGTATGGTACTTAATTGTTGAGTCACATTTTTTGCATGTTGCCTCTGTATCGCTTTTTGCGATAAAATTGTCCCAAGTCCAATGGAATTTATCTTCTTTCTTCTCTTCTTCTGATAATATGTCTGGATGTCTCTTCACCAAGTGTTCATGTAAATTA